CCCAAAGTATCGGAGCCATCTGGGCTATTTCCCCGTAGCCTCTTTTGGCTACAGCAGAGTTCCCCAATTCTGGTGAGGGAGGGGGGAAAGAAGAGGGGATGATTTTGTGGGAGGGGCAAGCGCATGTGCATGTGACATTCGCAACATTTGCGAGAGTGGATGCGAGTGCCTGCAATGACGCAAGTGAGGCCGTGTGCGCACGCAGAGGTGTGCACACTCACTGGCCCCTTGTGCAGCCCAGTGGCAATTAGCCTGTGGCCCGGGAGTGGGCTGTGGTTCACAGGCTAGGGAGCCTTGGGGGGACTTTTAATGATCCTCGTAAGAAGTTCTTCCTGGCAAGCACATTTGGCTTGTGCAGGCAAGGCTGCATTTGTTGTATGGATGTGATATGCAGTAGCTTTCTTTTAGAGTGTTCTTAAATCTTTTCTGTCTAGTTTTCAGCTGGGGATTTCCTTGAGGTTTCTCATCCAATCTGATAAGTATTTTTCCCTAACACCCTCCTTTTAGATCAGGGGTGTCAAACTGGATTTTCTCTGCGGGCCTGTGGGAGCAGGAAAATGGGACAGACTCCTCCTGTAGCACCCTGCCGTTTTTGGCCAGCAAAGTTATGCTGGAGGCTGAAAATGGGCCGTGGGGGGGTGCACTCTCACCGCCAAGGTACCGTGGGCCAGTCCTTTGATATTTCCAGGCCCGCACCAGGGGCTACATTTAGGCACCCGGCAGGCCAGATGCTTCACGTGGGCCTTGAGTTTGACACCCCTGTTCTAGGTCTACTGCAGATAGAATGATGACGCACACACCCAATTTAAGGATCCTTGTAATAAATGGATATACATGTAGTGCTTGACTTAAAACCATTTGTTTCACAATCATTCAAACTTAACACTGAAAAAGTGACTTACAACCGGTCCTCGCACTTACAACCATTGCAGCTGACAGAGATGAAGAAGATAGCATTAGGGCCATCCTCAGTGGACAAATTCTTCAGTATTGCTGACATGCAGCTATCAAAAGGGGCAGATCTTGCATTGCTGCATCTGCCATTTTGCCCTTTTTCAACACCAGCAAAATCTTTGGTGCAACAGTTCTCTCCTTCAATATCTTCGGATCAATTCCATCCCCCTAAAGCAGGGGTCCTCCAACTTTTTAAACAGGGCCAATTCATGGTCCCTCAGACTGTTGGGGAAGGGGGCGGACTG